TCTAAAATCTTTGACCAATTCATCAAGGTTTGTGACACCCTCTCTTCCATCGGCTGATAGTTCGGAGTCAATGCTTCCAGCATCCTCATCTATCATGTATTCTCGTTTTCTATCCGGTAAGTAAGCCAGCTGCATGATCAATGACGATAAACATGTACATCATGATAGAGGTTTTATGAGCATATGGGTACGTTTAGCAAAATAAAGCGCTCTATATTTGGTAATATGTCTTTAATGCTTGTGTAACACAAAGTATTATCAGTTCGATTACTAGACTGCACATTATGTAAGAGAGGCTAGCTGTTACCTCATCTTCTCCAAAAGAATGTCTGCGTCTATGGCCAGGCTTTTCATGGATATCAGGTTGCATTGTACTTTTTGTAGAAACTAAGATTAGTTTAGTTAATCTTTGAATCCTTCCCATCAATGCTGCTTTCGCTTGTTCCTCCTCTTCCAATCGTGATTGTAACTTCACCTGCCCAGCCTCTAACTGCATCACATATAGAAAAAATGAAAAATATACACCAGTTAAATAGGCATGTAAAATAAGCCCTAATATCCTGGGAAGCTGCCTCTTTTTTTCTGTGTATAGTTTTTTTAAGAGATCACTGCTTTTTGTTTTCTGCATATTTTCTTGTGTGTATCTGTTTGGGAGTTCATAGTTTCCCAACAATTTTATACAAAAAAGGTATTTCCTCTGCAAAAAGGTGTACCATCCCTTGCTGCATAATCTAGACCCTATGGAGAGAGAGGAATCAGAGATGTCGTTTTTTTTTAAAAAGCAAGCAAAAATCTTATTGATGAGCTCCATGAGTCCTAGGTCAACAGGAGTCTCTGTTGATAGAGACGTGGATCAGTTGGACGAGATTGTTACTAACACCATCTATATACAAAAAGGTTCTCTGGAGCTTCAGATTAACAAGTACACTGGTATGTATTAATGGGACATACCTGGAGCTTCAGATTAACCAGATCATCTTGACTGGGTCCCACTTTCTGATTTTCCATAATGCCACGCTTCAGAAGATCAAGCTCTTGTTTCAAACAGGATATTTCTCTCTGATACTTTTTGATGAGAGACTTCTCGTCTATAATCTGAAATAGTTCAAAACACATGAGGTATAATTGCAATGCAGATGGTTATGTTATAGCAACAGCATTTTGCTCCTTATGCTTCCCCACAAAACCTCACCTTATTCTGTGATGCTTTTATTTCCACATGCTTAGTTCGATGTGCAAATTTCAAGGTGTTGTGCGTCTCCTCTGTGTTGCTGGAGGCTGGTGTTACCGTGCAAATGAGCTTTAGAAAAATCCAAAAGAGTGAATCAGTGCTTAGGTTTTTTTCTTTTGCTGGGGTAAATTGGGAAGGGGGAGTCCATGCAACTCAAACTCAGAGTTCGGTTCAAAGCACTGTAAGAAGATAATTGACAGCTGGCAAAGCTGATTTACTAAAACTTACAGAAACTAGACCATGTCCACTGAGTGATGACTGCAACAGACGTGTAAGCTTTGAATCTCGATATGGGATATGAGTAGATTTTTCATCTGTTAGTTTAGATATAACCTGCATCATCAAATGTTGATAAATCGATATACAAATTCCAGCACTGTACTCCAAAGGTAACGGCCGAAACAATTAATTTGTGCATTCTAAAGAAGAATTCAGTGTTCAATCTGGGGGAAACGAAAGGGACAGATGAAGCGTAAGGAGACATATAGACAAGGGAAGTTCTCATGAGTAAAAATACGAAAGAAATAGCTTACAGTGCCAAGAGTGAGTAAGCTCTTGTTTATGAATGAACCTTCTTTCCTTCTTAACCCAGTTGTCTCAGTCTTGGAACTTTCAGAGCCTGCCAAATCAATCAGATGCTACAAAGAAGATTTGAGTACAGCATGCATGAACAGCATAGTGACGACAGAACGAGAAGATAAATTCTAAATACCCGAATACCATACTGAAAACTTTAGTCGAAAGAAAATGTATAGTCTAGTGAACTATAGGCTATAACATCAAATAGCTAACAGGTAAATTTCAAAAACAAAATGAGCCAAAAGTAACACTAGCTACCAGTTGCGACAGAGCTACTTCTTCCCCCTGATTTCCTCCTCGTGAACTGCTTTCAATTGTCTGGCACAGAAAACCACTCATTAGATAGTGCAAATTTGACTAAAGGAAAATCATTTTGTGACATAAAATGGGACAAAAGAAAAAAATACATATAATTACAAATTGAGCATCTGCTGTATAGTCAGCAACATGATCAACTTTAATTTTATAAATAATCAAACAGAAGATGATTTCATGAATTTTCCTTTATGAGCCAAAGACACGGCATTCAAAAATCCTAGTTCACTCCTCAATTTCTGGCCAAGGATCAAACTCTGGCAGCTTTAGTTAAATTGCATCTCGATCTTAAGTCAAGACAACACATTGAGTTAATTACCTATTTTGTCTTTGCCCCTAATTCTTTAGTTTCAAAACATATCAAAATTACCGGAGTACACAAGTGGGAACTTGGTAATACTTTCCTTAAATGTGTTGCAGAACTATTCACTTTGAGTATTGAGCTACTATGTGCAAAATGTTTTTCCGTCACCTCCATCATTTACTTATGCTGCACTAGTCCTACACAAAACTACACTCGAACATGGGATAATAATCATTATCTATGAATATCCAATAACAAATAATTAGATAAGTGTTTATCAGCTAGAACACAGCAAGGAAGACATCCTTGTCATTTTCTGAATGCAAAGAATACACTAGAACATAGTTTAAAAGGGAATGAATGAGATAGCTATTACCAAAGTAAATATTGTATGGCTCCGACTGCTCAGTAAATTAAAGTTGTTGGAACCCACATGTCTGTGCTCTGTTTCAATGTGCCATCAAAGCCAAAGATACATGTTAAGAAGTTTCCCTTGGCATCTGGCGAAATGGTGACATATCAATACTTAGTAGAAATCAAGAATATCAAGGTCACATTAATGCTTAAGATTTCCTGAAGAAGACAAACCAAGCTAATTGATTATTGCGCAATTTGCTTTCATTGGAGATGGCTTGGGGGGATGGGCACGATTTTTTGGGAGAGATGAATATTTATTAGTACATGTCAAGATAGGTGTAGATGAAACTGCAATTAAGCAAATATTGCCAATTGTTTTCCAATATATAGACCAAATATTTGCACTATATATGAGATAGAAGAAATAGAAGATGTTTTGAAGGTTTGGCTGATGCGGTTCATAATAATAAGCAGCAGTTTCTAATACCTCTTTTTTCATGTAATCAAGACTCGTATAAAATATGTTAAGATATCGAATTCTTTAGTGCTGTTCATCAGTAAATCCAATATGAAGGCATTCTGGCACGAATTAGTACCACAGCCTTCTGATCAAAGAATATGATTACTTATATAAAGTATCACAAATAGGTAACTGCAATGAGTAAAAGCAACATGGGCTTGTTACATGAAGGTACTGATAGCAATCTCTTTATATTATAAATAGACGAGATTTACAACCTTCCCCAGATGCTATTAAGGAAAGTGCATGAGCAGGGGACAGAACAACTTCCTCCTTGATTCCTTCAACATACGTCCCCTGCATCTTTCAAATAAATTGTTAAAACTTCAAAAGATAAGCAGCTTTCAAGAAAACTAATCACATCAAAGAGTAAAAGGGAAAAGAGCTCCCAATTTCATAGGAATCAATATAACTGACTGCTTAAAAGATAGCTCCCTCACCACCTTTCAGAATAGAAACTGGAACATGGAAAAGGAAGTCCACATGGAAGCAAATGAAAAGAGAATAAACAGGACTTCAAAGGCAACATTGGACCCAAAAAACTAAATTACAGTACTCTTGCAACTCAGGGACCGTATCTCCATTTAGATGCTGCATAAATCTCTGTAAAGACCATTCAATTCCAAGAGAAAAAGTGGACAACTAAAAGATCCAAATATCCAAGTTAAAGCATAAGATTCTATGAAGATTATTATGTTCCTCCCGTGTAAAAGATAATCCAAATTGACAATAACTTCACGATGATTATAGCTGATAAAGAGCTAATCATTAAAAGAAAAAGATAAAAGAGCTAGTCATACAAAGTATACAGTATTGATGCTTTTTCAATCCCTTTCATGGTTTTTTGTTCCTATATTACACCTCGACTTGCTGCACTTCGTTATCACTTTTGTTTTTTTTCCCTCAAAAATGCCATTATATTTGCCGCCACACCAATCAGTTTCAGCTACTGACTACATCAGATGTGTTAATCTCCAAGAAACTATAAAAAGAAAAACAGGCAGCCAAGGCTTTGGGGAATGTAAACATGATCTTATTGTACAAAATGTTAAGAAAATGGACCTTGGGCATATCTCAACACCAAAAACATAACTCATAAAGTGAGGATTTCCCATGACAGCGGACAACAGTCTTTTCTCTCAACCAATGCGAGACACTTACCACCCCCTCCCACAGACGCCCAAGGTTGGAACATTTGGGGCGTGAACAACATAACATCAGGGCTCAACACTGAGTAAAACCAAGAATAAGGATAGATCTAGCTCTAATACCATGTGAAAGAGTCACCACATCCAACCGAAATTTTAAGGCAATGGTTGGAATAGGGCAAAATCATTTAAACCCCTTACAAAATTGATGAGGGACAAGTGTTGCATTCTCTAACACTCTCCTTGTTCCAATTCTAAGGCTTTGCACGTGTATTTGATTTGTTTTGACTTCCCTTTTTTTTTAAGTAAAGAGAAGAGTTCAACAGGAGCGGGCCTAGAGTATAGAGAGAGATATTAGGCTCANATATAATGGACCTTGGGTCTAACTCAACCCCAAAAGCTAGCTCGATGAGAGGATTGTCCAAGATCATATAGAGGACAGCAACACATTCTCTCAACCAAAGTGGGACACTTAACACAAGAAATTAGTTCCATGCCTATAACATGAACCAGACCCAATAGCAAGCAATAGAAGGATTAGCATAAGCATTTATTCTGAATCGGTGAATCCATGTCAAATAAAACTTCAAATAATTAAACTTGCTTCGATTGAAATCCTCTGTTCTAGGGTGTCACTTAGCTTAGACATCCATTAAAAATGTTTGGTAAATTTACCATTAACCAGATCATAAATACAGAAGTTCAACTTCTAGGGAGTAGCTTGCTCTAAGAAATTAGTAGAAGAAACTAATGCATATGAATAGAGGATAAAAAAACCACGAACGACACATAAAATAAGATTAAAGAAAGCTTATAATATGATAACATAATTTGAAATAAAACACAGCAAGCCATGAATATGACTCATTCAAACAAACCTGCCCGTCTTCTCGTACCCTTAGATTCTGCCCTGTTGGATCAAGCAAATCATTGATGACCTAAAATGAACGTAAGGTCAATCTCAATGCATTGGAATTGAACCCTAAAATGAGAAATGAAGACACCATCATGTCCAATATGCTGAGTTTTCAATTTTATTTTGCAAATTTGTTTAAAATGAAAGCATGAAACCCTTTAACATGTGCCAATTTGAGCAGCTTATCACCTTGATTTTTATCATAAATGTTGCTCTGATGAGAACAAAAGCTACAGCTAAAATCAAACTACTGTCTGGCTTACCTCATTGTATATTTCAAGATAGGATACGCGAAGGAGAAACTCCCGCCCAGGTGTCTGATACAATACATTTGAAAGTCAGCTTTAAACTAGAAATGTTCTCCAAATAGTATTAAAGTTCATGAAACTACAGAATCAATTTTTACTAAGCTGTGAAAACAGGGTAATAGTACCTCTTGTATAATGCCAAAGACATCCTTCACTGCTAGTGGAATAATACCGGGAGACTTTTGTTCCCCCTATATAACATGAGAGGCTTAGCAAAATGTTTCAGATGGAAAGGGATATATTTCTGTCCAACTTGACCACGGAGCTAACAAATAACTCTTACATTCAAGAACCAGCAAATAAAATCAAAATCAAGAAACAAAGCTTGCACATTCATAACACTTGATTGAAAATCACTCCTGTGAGTGTAATGAACAAGCATTCTGCATGAAACAAACCTCTTGTATGGTGACACTCTTTTTAAATGTTTCTTCCAAATATGGCTTTGTATAGTCAAAGTGGCCACTAACATCAATTAAGCACTCACCCCTTGCCAAAGAAGTAGCTTTGATAGTTTACGCGAATGATACTAATTACAGGCAATGCTAATAAAAAATCATCAGCACTTAAATCTTCTTTAGTTAAAAGTTTGAGATAAAAAACTAGGCCTTCAAAAATATTCCTTTGAATCAGTGGCAAGATTAAAAAAGTAGCTTATCTTCTTTGGATATATATACATACATAT